AAAATGCAATTAGATTTTTTGCCTAAAAATATGGATCACTCCCCTCCTACATTATCTATTGTAAATTGGAATTTCCAGAATATTATTTTTTTAATTTTTCAGGCTTATCTCCTTCTTCATCCAGATTGAAGCTTCTCCATTTTCCCCCACAACAAATATATAAGGTACATTGAGTTGAGACTGGTCCAAAACTATGCAGTAAGCATCCATTGCTGAAAATAGACTTAAAGCTGGGCCTTTCCAACTCCTAATCCTTAACCAGATGTTACATAGCATCATTTACATAAGTAAGCAAGAATTAATCTAATGTTCCTTCCCAATGTGGGATATTAGGATGATAAAACAAATCTTGTGAACTTTAGAAAAAGTGTTTTTCCCCTCTACTAACTCAATCTTTTTTCTTTCCTCTGTTGGGGTTTCAGAACTGTAAGAAAACTCTTTCATCATGTGCCATTTCCTTACACAAGGGGAGCCCAGCATGTGTTAGGAAAAGCATCCAAGGCAGGATTGTTTTTGGTCAGCTGATGCTGGATGCAGACATAGCCTTTCTCTTAATTAATCTGATTTTGGAAGATATTCCAAAATTATTCAGATTATCTTAGCGCATATTGCTATAAAATGATATTTACATAGATATAACTTACAAAAAAGAAAAAAATATTCCATATGTTAAAAGATAATTGAAAAATAAAAATAATGAGAAATGGGAAAATAAATCTTGGATAAAAGGCATATATGGACTAATTATGAAACTTTTAAAGGATATCTTTGCTGCTTCAGTTCTCCCAAATGTGTAATACATGCTTTGCATACTGATAGCTAGTTGCAGACTCTGATATCGCCAATAAAAAAGGCTGAATAATTTTTGCAGGTGGAGATCATATTTTTCTTTAAAATCAGCCTCCAAGAACCTCAGGAGCAAAGCTGTGATCAGAGTTGGGTAACCTGGCTTGGAGGTTTAAAGCAAAACTTTGAATCAAGAATGGGGGCTGCATGCAGCCTTGAGCTGAGAGTTGCTGACCTCTGAGTTCAAATAAACCCCTTTCTAATCGCTTAGAAAGCAAATGGAGGAAGAGAAGTCTTTCCAAAAACCTGGATTGCTGCTTGTTGTTCAAAATACAATATTAGGACTTTTGGTCTCTTAGCGCTACCCAACTGGGATTGTAGCAGATTAATTTGTCTAAATGCAGAATTGTGAATTGCTGCTCAGCTTGGTGAATTAACTTCACGAAGGAAGGAAACAAAGCTAAGGATTTGCAAACCTGTGGAAAAAGTCTGAGGATTGGAGAAAGCATGAATTTATTAGTCTTCATCTAAGGCACGTGTCAAATTTGCTGCATCACGTGACGTGTCGCATTACCGGAGCTGGGGTGGGTGTGATGCAACCGGCCCATGGCATGGGTTGGCAGTTTGACACCCCTGAAAGAGGAAGACTGCTCCCCAGCACTAAGGGTTAGCAAACAGATCCAGGAAATGAGAGGAACATTAATAATGGAGCTGGGATTACAAATTTGAACTTGATGTTTATATTTGTGATAAAGGTGGGAAATCACTTCTTTATAAATTTCTCTTTTTTTACTATTTTTTTTTTACTTTTCCCTTTCTATTTTTTTACTTTTTTTCTTTCTTTCTTTTCTGCACCTTTTACTTTTTCTTTTTATTCTTTTCAGGTTTTTTTTAAGTTTGCATTAGTTTTTATGGTTGTAATTATAATTCTTAATAAATTACTATTAAAGAAAAAAATCAGTTTGAGGTAGACTAACACATACACCCATTTTGTTGCATTAATTGTGAAAAAAGCTGCCTACTCTATACCAACCATGTCATGGAAAGTACATAATTAAATGTATGCAAGCAATGCTAGACCTTTAAGTCACTTTCTTATTCCAGAGTTAGGGAGAAGTAGAATTACCACATGCTATAAATTTCTGGGAACTGTATCATTCCAGACTAGGAAACTCTTTCTATTTAAAATGAAAATAAAAGCTGCCCATGAATTACTAAGTATTATCAAGAAGAGAAAGAAGCTCTGTGAAATAAACAGGCACATTTGATGAGGGAGGGTTATGAGGGATTTTGTTACATGGGCTTCTGCTGGAAGATAAAAAGTAGGACAATCTTGGAAGCCATCTACAAAGAATACATGTTGTTTTGTAAAAAGTGTCTGGAACAGAGAGCTTAGTAGCACATAAAGTAGAAACAGAAAAAAACTAAGCACCTCCCATTGTGGACTATGGACTTCAGCTTCCAGAATTCCTCAGCCATCATGCTGGCTGGGGGATTCTGGGAGTTGAAGTCTACTCGTCTTAAAGTTACCAAGTTTGAAAAACACTGTGTAAAATCAATATAACTATGGGTCCACTGTCACTTCTCACTTCTCAAAATAAAATGTTTCCCCCTAAGAAACATTTACTCTCTATTCAGGAAATAGTGGTCAAAGACTTTAAGAGGTTACTGTTTCTGTTTTTCAAATTTTTACTACATTATCCCTCTGGCAGATGGCAGATCGGCTTCCAGATGTCACCCAGGCTACACCTGTCAAAATGCTGACCTGTACACATTTTTTTTTAAGGGTAACCGGTTCAGTTTTTCCATATTCACACATTTACAGTCTGTTTATTGAAGCCAAGAGAGGGGTTGAATATATAATAATGAAATCAGGGCCCCAAGTTCCACCAGGCTGACTTAAGGAGTTTCAGGGCATACCATGTTTGATAGACCTCTCTAATCTTGAAGAAATTGATGCAGCTTAGTCACCACTCCGTCTTGGCATCTAGTTACTATCTGCTAAAAAAATGCTGCAATGCAGCAGCTATATGAATGAATCACATAGACCGAGTAATGCATTCTCTGGATGGATTCTGATATCACGCTAAAACCTTGTTTACCTAACCATGGTTTGCTGGATGACCAAAATGTGCTAGTTCAAAAACTGAGATGTGCAAAATGTTCCATCATGGAATATTCCAACCTTGGAAGGGCTCTGCCAATCTTTTCAGAAGTGGTCCAGATGAACTATCCTGGATCCGAAAACTTTTGAAACACTTTCGGGACACCCAGAAGAGTCAAAAATGTTCTCTATGACCAAACATTTTGCACAGTCATCTTCATTCATAAATCATGGTTTAAAGGTTATGGCTTTAGTTTAGCCGAATTCTGTCCATTAGGTGTAAGCAAATAAAGGATTGGACTCAATTAGATTTCACTCTTTGACCTTGGACAGATATCTAGCATCCAAGATAGATACTTTATCATATGCTGGCTGGGAAATTCTGAGAATTAATAATCCACATTTCTTAAAAGTTATCTAGGTTGAGTGTGTGTGTTGTGTGTATTCAGTGTGTGTGTACATGAGGTATTAAAAGTCAACCCTCATGTGTCAATTACAATAAGTTTTATTAATCAATATTTTTACTGAGAAAACGTTGCAGTACTTACTTAGGAATGTTCAAAGGACATGTATCCAATGAGTAAGGAAAGGTTTAAAAGAAAATGGCAGTCAATTCAAATATTTAATGTAATTTATATAATACACTATGTATGGGGCTTCACTTTTGATACTCCTTCCTCCTATACATGATCATCTTCTTTATGCCCACAGAATATATATTTTAACATATTTGAGGGCTTAGTATAAACCTGATCACCTGAGTCGCTTAGCAAACTTTCATCATTGTGGACAAGTCTGTCCTGGACAATCTTTTCTTTTCCAGTGAAGGAAAATTATGTAATCATCTGCTATGCATTTATTTCACTTGATCTAATAAACCACATTTGGGCTTCCATTTTATCAGAAGAAGACTGTTTTCTCTTTACTTTTTATTCCCTGATGCTCCAAACAGAATGTTGCTTTGAAATGGCTCAGAAAATGTAGGAAAAATACATTTATAAGCTCAAATGGCCATAGTATTTTGTACAAAGTAAGGGGGGTGTCAGATAAAGACTGTCTTTATATGAAGCAGAGGTACCATCCCACTCTTAAAAAGATAGCTTGGTTCAGCCTCATTAGTTTGCTGTTGTGTGCTTTATTCTACTCTATTCAAGCCAAGCTTTAGGCTTAGATATTGAGTAGTCTTTGATGCCTACTTTAAGTCATAACTTCCACACATCCAGCTAATACAATGTTGAAAAGGCAAAAAAGAAGCTGACTAGGTTTTTGGACTATCTCCTACCAATGAGGTGAGGTCTGCCCCCCCCCCCTTTGTCCCTCCAGAAGGGTGTTAAAACTTGATTCTGCCTGTTGACTTGAGGTCCTGACGTGAGTGCTCTATGTTAGAGGTAACCGGTGGATTAATAGGGAAAATGCCACCAATGTGCCATTCTTATCTTGGCTTTTTTTAATTTTTTAATCTATTGTGATTAATATTTTTAATATACATAATTTGTAAGCCACCCAGAATCATTTTGCAGAGTGAGTCAGCGGCATATGAAATAAATAACCTCCAAGCACTGTGATTTGGTTCTCTTCATTTTTCTTTCTATTTACATTTCACACTGTCCCTTCATGTTTTTTTAGAATTTTCTCCTTTTAGTCAAATGTGACAGTATTGGACCATACCTGCAGTGTCCCATTTACAAAAAATGCTAAATACAATGGCATTAGGGTCACTTTTTCCTATTGGTTTTGCAAGAATTATATCTCATACCATGGTCACCATGGTTGTTCCCTTCTACTTGGTTCCAAGGATGAACTATTTTAAGGAATTGTCATTCAAGAGTAGAAGAAAGGCAGGCATTGGGAGATGGGGGACAGAGCTAAATGTATCATCAGCTTAGAGTAGTTGCATTCCCAACAAACTCTCCAAGTCCAACCCCTGCTGAATTCTGTTGAGCCTTATATGATGCCAATTTAGTGTTGAACTTTAGTTGACCAGATTCTTGTGTATATGCTTGAATAAATCTTGAATAAATCTTCTATCCTGCAACCCGATGGGTGGTCCTGATTCTCTGTGCCTGACATTAAGGTATTTAGAAATTAGAAAAGAAATGAAGCTGCTTACCTTGCCTGTAGACTTAACCCCTTTCCAAATGCAGAAATAACAGATGATCCAGGCCAGAAGAAGACAGAGCGACAATTCCCAACGCACTGTGCCCAAATGTTCAATGCCATCAGAAATGTTTAACACTCTCCGCCTGCAAATGAAAATATTGAATATGTGTTGCTTCATTTGTAGTTTTCTAGTTTCTCCATAATGTATTTTACACGGTGCCTTGCAACAGCTTTCTTTTGGCTGGCACCTTCCAGATGTTTGGGACAGATATTTAGCAGGTTGGGGAAAATCACATTAGGGGAGGATCCATTTTGATATATTGACAGGACCTTTCCCTGTTCTTGGTAGGAGATGTTCCAATAAGGCACCTTTGTTTGATTTTGGTAAGAAATTAGTGAAGGGACTTTTGGTAATATTTAAGCTAGTTGAACGTATGCAGTAATAGCATATCAATACTAGCGCGTCCTATGGAAAAAACACATGAATTGCTGACGGCCACTATTGGAGAAAGAGAAGCTCTGCAGAAGGAAGGGCTAAGATTTTTACTTACTCCCAAAATTCAATGACAGGAGAGGTGGCATTTTCCAGTGTCACGTTTAGAGAGGCATTCTTCTGGAATTCCACACAGTTCTCTATAAAGTAAGCCACACAGACATTCACTGCATCCAATAAAATATGTTATGAGGTCAAACAATCTTTAGGAAAAGGGAGCTATAGAATTGCAAAACCTTAAGTTGGGGCAGGAACACTTTTTATGTGAAGGGCCTTATGTGAAGGTAGAACCAGAACCAAAAGAAGGGAAGACTTGTTCTTCTCACAGTTCCTTTTTCCCAACCAATGGACAATTGAAGAATTGGGGAACATTGGTAAAAACAGTTACTTGCAGAGAGCTTTTCAGTTAAGTCAAAGACTGTATCAAATCAACTTTTTTAAGATTACAGATTTGTTCCTGCTGCTGAAAGGATATTCAAAAATTGAGTCCATTTCAGACATGGCTGTATTCCTACCTAAGAATACAATTCTCTTCGTCAATGGAAAGGATAGGTTGCATTTAATAAACCTTTTTAAAACCAACACCTGAAATTTTTTGTCCTTGGGTTTCAGAAACGTATGTCCTGTTTCTTTCACCGCTTTCAGAAAGAGATGTGTTTTGTTTTTGTTTTTTGACCAAAGAAAGGTGCCAGAGAAACTGATTCTGTGGCTGTTTTAATTTGGATTCTTGCATGGAGCAAATAGGAGATACGATTTAGACCCCTTCAAAATCTGTTCTATGAAAATCAGATGGTAGCTATTCTATGCAACTGTCTGAGTTGCAACAAGGTTTTGGTGTTATTTTGTAAAGAGATTTCTTTCACCTTTCATCTCATATAAACATTTATTTTTTATAATGGGGATTATACAAAGAGGTGATTAAGGAAATCAATAATGAGTGAGTCTGGAAGCATGAAAGGCAAAGCAACAGAACATGAAATAATATCAATGGCCATTGATTTAAGAAAAAAAGAAGACTCTGTTCAGAGAAAGCATAGTTAGATGCCTTGTAGAAGGACATAAACAGGCTGCTATGTTACCTGTATTCCATTCATGATCACAGCTGCCCCATGGGAGATCTATGGTGAATGAACTGAAGAGGTAAAACAAGGCCCAAGCCAGGACAATAATATAATAGAAATTAAGGAGCACCACAATCACTTGAGAAGCATACCCAATCCCTACAGAAAGAAAAAAATAAACCAGGAATAAAAATTACATGTTAAAAACAAATTAACGAGACCTTCTTAAATAAAGATCTGCAAAGTATAGCAAGATGCCATCCTAACCCCCAGCAAGCTTAACAGTTGGAAGGAAAGAATGGCCAAAATGAACATATCAAGATAATCTTTGAGTATCTTATGCTTTCACATGTAAGCAAAGTTCAGAGAAGAACAAATTTGGAGCCAATATTCACTTAATGGGTCTGGGAAAGGTCAGCTGTTCCATCTTGTATATACATTGTGCACGTATAAGTAGTCCTAGACTTACAAATATTTGTTTAGTGACTGTTTGAAGTTACAATGACATAGAAAAAAGTAACTTACAACTGGTCTTTACACCTATGATCGTCACAGCGTCTCCATGGTCACATATCAAAATTCAGGCACCCAGCAACCAGCATCCTGGAGTCATGTGATATCTATTTGTGGCCTTCCCAATTTGCTTCAGGCAAGCAGAATCAATGGGGGAAACTGGATTCCCTTAACGATCATGTGAGTCACTTAACAACTGCAGTGATTCACTTAAGAACCATGGCAAAAAAGATTGAAAATTGGGTGTGACTCATTTAACAACCGCCTTACGTAGCAACAGAAATCCTGATCCCAATTGTGGCCATAAGTGCTTCAGAAGTAACTGCAGTCATTTCCATTTCTTTGTGTCCGGCAAGTGGCAAAACCAAGACCCAGCAATTTGAACTAAAATTGCTAGAGCTTTTCGTGTAAGCATTTTAAATTAGCTCTACCAGATTTCACTCCATTCTGTATATTCAGCTTTTTTTTTTTCAGATTAAGGCATTTGGGTTATTTTAATCAAATAGCAAGGGTAGCAATTCCTGGGATAATAAACAGCATCCAATTAGTAATCTTTGAGTTCCAATTAAAAACAGAGTTTGCAACAATGTTACTAGACCTTTGGGATCCAAATGACATTCTGGAATTTGGGGGAGGGTGGTAATTCCTTTTTTTCCTAGCATATTTTGAAGTAACAAAAGAAATGAGTATTAGTTCACAAGAGTCTATTTGTTTACTTTATCCCCCAGGTAGAATTTTCTCTTGAGAACATATGGGATATTCCCACAGAGTCTATCTCCATTATTATTTTTAAGACACTCTCAAAAGTTCTAATTTGCTTTAAACCATCTATTGGAGAGCAACCATCCCAGTCACGAGATGGGCTCAAGCAGGGAATTAGTCTGGCCTTGTTAGTTAAACAGAAGAGGGTCAATATTGACTCCTCCCCAAATGTTTTTCAACCTTATCTAGTTTTTCCCAGGTAAAGCTGCCAGTCTGGGAAGATTCCTGTGAAATAGGCATAAAACAATAAAGTAGCTAGTTTGAACTCTACATGTGTGGGTCTGGTTGTTTGTGCCTGACACACCCTCTGTTATCAATGTCCTGTGGTAGAGTGGATAGAAAAACAGACCCCTATCTGAACAAGCAGATATACTGTTCTAATATTAGATACACATCTGATGTTAGAAACCTCGCAAAATATACTCACAGAGTTCACATATTGTACTTAACTCTGATTTATTTAATAAGTTCAGTTTGGCTAAGATCACACTATATGATAAACCATGATTTATAAACTACAATGGGTTTGCAGCACAGTTTAGGCAAACAAACATTCAAGTAGCCATGATTATGACAAAATGATGTCCTAATGCAAACTTCTTCATTGCATAAAAAAGGGATGAATTTTACACTACAACATAGCCAACCATGTTTCATCACTTGTCCCCCTTACCATTTTGTGCCAAGGTACCATGTGACAGGTGCTGATTCACTTAACAGTCTTGCTTAGCAAAGGAACTCTGGTCCCAATTGTGCTCATAAGTCAAGGACTACCTGTACTGATCGTTTTCTGGAATGGGAAGTACCAGCACAAGATTTTAAAAATATAGGTCTGGAATGTGATAATTTAATTTTAATTACTTAATTAAAGTTATGTGCCTCTTCACTCTTAGTGACTGCGGGCAGCTCACACAAATCAAAGAAATTATAATAAATTCAATAAACTATAAAAGATTAAGGTAAGAGGTGGTAAGTGTGGTGAAGTGAGAGCTCTCCTTCTCCCTCACCATAGGCTTGGGGAAGAGTCAGGGTCACCATAGGCTTGGGGAAGAGTCTTCAAAGCTCTTTTAAACAACAGCCAAGTGGGGATCTGGATCTTGGGGGGACTTCATTCCAGAGGCCAGGTGTTGCTACAGAGAGAGCATGTTTCTAGGGTCCTGAGATACAACATGGTTTAATCCAGTGGTTCTCAACCTGTGGGTCAGGACCCCATTTGGGGTCGAATGACCATTTCATGGGGGTCGCCAAACAACGCAGTCCGCCATTTTTTCCCCTTTTCCTTAGCTGTGCTACTCCCTTTTATTCTATTGGCTTTTGAAAGCCAATAGAATAGACTCTCTTGAATTGTCCAGGCTGTCTCTGCCGTGCTGAGCCCGCCAAAAGTCCCATTCTGCAAATGGTGCTGCACCAGTTGAGTAGTCCTCGACTTATGACCGGTTGAGTAGTCCTCGACTTATGACCGGTTGGGGGGTCGCGGCACTAAAAAGGTTGAGAACCACTGGTTTAATCGAAGGAAGCTGGAGGGTACCAATCTTGCAGAATCAAATTGACCAGACAGATATTATGGGAAACAGGCAACCCACATTGGGTTGCCACCTGGAGGGCTTACGACAACTTGCCACAGCCAACTTGCTATGGCCAGCTTGCTGCAGCCAAACTCACCGGGGAGAACTCGCTGTGGGACAACTCACTGCGGGCCAACTCGTCACAGGACAACTCACCCCAGGTCAAGAGTTACACTAATAGCAAAGAAATAGCAAAGAATCATTAAAGAAAGAATGCCAAAGAAAGGACAGAATGAAATGTGAATGACAAAAAATGAAATATTTTTTTGATTATTTTAAATAATTAAATTGAATTATTGAATTATCCTGCAGTGAATTGTCCCATGGTTAGTTGGCCACAGCAAATGGTCCCATGGCAAATTGGTCATGGTGAGTTGGCCATGATGAGTTGACTGCAGTGAGTTGTCCCATTCCCACACCTGGAGACAAACTGGTAACCATTGCAGCTCATGAAGCAGAGGTGTTACATGGGTGTACAGAGGCATGCCCATTACTGCTTGCACCACCACATTCTTGTCCAGTTGAAGCTTCTGGGTGGTGGTCAAGGGAAGCCCCAATACATTGCAATAGTCAAACCATAAGATAACTAGATAACTAGCAAATAGGTACCAATTTAAATTGCAAGTGGCAAAAAGGTCTAAGAGAAGTAATGTGTTATCATGTTTGATTTTTAGAAGGAATTATACAGCATCAGAGGAAAGACTCAAAGTTCACTTCCCCATCTGCTTTGATCTAAGTTCTTATTAGGGAGAGAATCGTGTATAATATTTTTTTTAAATTCAGATGTTGACACACGCTTAGCATTTTTCAGTTTCAACTTGACTAGACATCTTTTTGGATGCAAGGTTTTCTTTGCTACCAATGAAACCATAATTCCATGTTATTTTTGGCAAAAGAAATACCGTATATTCCGCCGTATAAGGCGACCCGGTGTATAAGACGACCCCCATCTTCAGCGCCGAGTCGCATGCCTAGAAAGTCGTCTTATATGCCAGAAACTACCGTAATTTCCGGCGTATAAGATGACTCGGTGTATAAGACGACCCCCAACTTCTGTGCCGATTTCCACGCTTTCAAAAGTCGTCTTATACGCCGGAAAGTACGGTAATGAGGAAAGAAAGAGGAGGATTATAAAAGAACCAATGGAATCCTTGTAAGGATGGATGGTGATGATAGAATGAAACATCTTCCCAGTTTGGTAAGATAATTCTTTCATATAAAATTGCATTCAGTCAACCAGCTTGGTCCTTAAGTGTAGCAGATGACCAGGCTAAGCCTGAGGGAGGGGTCAAATGCATCATCTGTTATGAGTCCCTTCACACCCACAAGAGACAGAACTCCAGTCCACCTTGAATTCCTTTGACTCTATCACGAATTTGCTTTGGCCGTTAGTAGTTCAGATTCTTGTAGAGAGCTTAAGCTTGCGATAAATCTTTATACCCATTTGAAATGCCTAGATCTTCTGATTCTTCTGGTGCTTGACAATAAGATTTAACATACCTTCAAAAAGAGGGCATAGCCTCCTCCAGGAAGTGATGCCTCCCTGACTGGTATATTGTCCCAGGGCTGTCTCTAGGAAAAACACTGGAATTCCACAGGTGAAAAGGAAGATGAGGTAGGGAATGAAGAAGGCACCTACAGATTCAGAAAAAGAGAGACATGGCCAGACATTAAAGAGACATTCTACAACAGTGTTTCTCAATCTTTAGTAACTTTAAGATGTGTGGACTTCAACTCCCAGAATTCCTCAACCAGCCTAGCTGGCTTTTCTGTAAGTTACAATGCTGCCATAATGTAATAAGCCTTACTGGAATCCCACCAAGCTTTGTATGGCTTCCTTCCATCTAATTAAATATTGGATAGTCACCTTTGGAAGGAGGAATATTATGATAGCAATAAGTTCTTTATAATAGTGGTAGAAGTTTTGTGAGAAATGATGACTTGTGCAGTAATACAAAGCAATTGTGCTGAATTACAATGCTGCTGCTAAGAGCAATAGCTGACACCTTGAGAGCACTCTGGTGTGTTCAAAATGCTTTGCAAATACAGTAGTGCTTAGAGCAGCCCCCAGAGGCTAACTCAAAGGTAGAGTTTAGAATATTTTGACTATATTGTATTCCTGCTACAATGGGAAACTGTATTTGAAACTCTAGTGAGTCAATCTCCAAAGCACGGACTGCATTTTCACAAAAAGATGACTAATCCAATCCATAAACAAAATATAATCCCTCTTTGTGAACAGTAGGAAGGCTGTAGTCTTAATGCAGCATTTTACATCTTGGCTGGCATTAGCAAATTATGAATGTTGGCCTGAGAGACTTCAAGGAATCTCAGAAGTATATGATTTCTTTTATTTTTTAGTGTTCTTGCTTCACAAAAAAAAAATTAGTTTCCCCTGTCCCATTGTTTCCGACTCTAGGGGGGCGGTGCTTATCTCCAAGGCAGCCAAGGGAGCCAGCGATGCTTCAATGGTCATGTGGCCAACACGACTTACCTTCCCATCAAAGTGGTACCTATTTATCTACTCGCATTTGCATGCTTTTAAACTGCTAGGTGGGCTGCTAGCTGGGGCAAGAACTGCTAGCTGGGGCAAGAACAGGAACTTACCCAGTCACACCCAGGTACTTGAGTTTCAAACTGCCAACCTTCCAGTCAAGAAGCCTAGCATTTTAACCACTAGGCACCTGTGCCCCCTGCTCTTGCTTCACAACTTTCTTGTAAAAGCCGCTCTGGTAGGGAAATAAATGAAACTGAAAATAATGTGATCATAGAATCAGGGTGTCCACCCTTTGGAACATCATGCCACCAGACATTCATTTGTCCCCCCCCCCCCGGTCAGGCTTTCACAGGGCCTTAAAAGCTTGGTTTATCACCAGATGTGGGGAATCTACCTATGTGGCAGTAGTTAATAATGTACCAATGAAAAATATAATATTAATAAATAATACATAGGAAAAGAAGAAAAACTTATAGTTATCTAATGGGCTGTTGTACATTTCAAATTGGTCTTTGAAAGGTTTTCTGCACCACATGTCAGACCCCTAGATTTTTATATATTATACAACTTGGCATGAATGAAGATGGGGATAGGCAGGAGAATATGTGCCAATCTCCCTCAGTCTCCAAATATCTGTCATCTTCCTTGAAGCAAGTCCTATGGTTGTGCCAATATTCAAATGTTTGAATCTGACTCCATGAAGATTTGGTTAGTTCAAATATTTGGATCAACTGGATAAATCAAAACATGAAAGTACACCCATTGTTTGAATCAAATGTGCTTAAATGAATTCAGTTTGATAAATCAGCAAAGGGGACCCATTTATTGAATCAAATGTGCTCGAGTGAATTTGGTCCAATTCAGACTAATACAGAAATTTTCTGTGCATGTACACAGACATTATGTGAGCATGAATCAAATCCAACTGAATTGTTTGGGTTTGGTAATCTGATATAATTTGGTTATATGTTGTTTGTTTGCTTATTAAAGCCTTGGGGCATGGTAGCTCAGCCATTAAAGAGTCTGAGCTTGTCAGCTGGAGAGCTGACAGCCTGGGTTCTGTGCAACTGGGTGAGTTCTCATTATTTGCCCCAGCTCCTGCCCATCTAGCAGTTCAAAAGCATGCAAATGCAACTAGATTAATAGTCCCATTCTGGTGGGAAGGTAACAGCATTCTGTGCGCCTTTGGCATGTAGTCATGTTGGCCACATGACCACCTAAATTGTCTTCAGACAATGCTGGTTCCCTTGCCAAGAAACTGAAATGAGCACCATGCCCTAGAGCAAGGGTGTCAAACTCAGTTTCATTGAGGGCCACATCAGCATTGCGGTTGCCCTCAGGGGGGCGGGTGGGTGTGGCCAGGGTGGGTGTGGCCTACTGGGTGGGCATGGCCAGCTCTACATCGTTCACGTCAAGGGTGCCTATGGGGGAGTGGGACAGATCTGAGGGTCTCTGGCAGAAAGGGGTGGGACTGGGGCAAGCGCCAAGGCATGGTCCATTTCTTCATTCCTTACAAAAGGTGACACCTCCCCAGCATGCACTCAGGGGGCAGGGCCAACAAGGCAGGGGCTGGTTCCTCACTGTTTCTAGACAGCCTTGTGGAGCTAAGACTGAATGCGTTTCAGCATAGATGGCCACCACAAAATTGTACATTGGCCCCCGGCTGGCCTGGGCCAGGGCCAAGGCAGTGGGGGCTGTTTCCTCGCTGTTTCCAGGATGGCTTTGCGGGCCACATGAAACCACTTTGCGGGCCACATCCCGGGACTTGTGTTTGACATGTCTACCCTAGAGTCATACATGTCTGACAGGTAAACCTTTACCTTTACCTTACTTATTAAAGATAAGTTAAAGATAATCCTGCTTTTCTTTCAGAAGCTCAAGGCTTCTCCCCACATCCTTATCTGCTCAAAATTGTATTTGACCTTCAAATTGAATCTGATTCATTCATCCTAATCAGTAGTGGGATTCAGCCAGTTCACACCACTTTGCCAGAGCCAGTAGCTATTTTTTTGTTGCCCAGGCTAAGAATGGACTTCCAGAAGTGGCATTCACACAGAGAACTGGTTGTTCACATATTTGAATCCCACCACTGCTCCTAATACAGTATGTACCCTTTTGCTTTGTTGAAAGAAAAATTTTCATCAGGGTCAAGTCTAAGCCGGGAATAATCAACATGGAGACTGCTTTAGAAAGAAGATTGTAGTTTATTGAAGAGGAGAGCCAGACAGAAAGATGGCTCTGGAAAAAAGAGTGACCACATGTAGCAGGGAGTGGGTTTTTATACCTTCTGGGGCTCTGGAGGTTGTTTCCTATTCCTGCTTGAGGCTTTGTATTTCCTGTGTCATGTACTTTGACCTGATTCTGAGTGTGCCCCTTTGGCATTGGTGGGTTAATCTTATTATGTCCTGTCTTAGAATTTGGGTGGGGTATGTACATTTTAAGGGTCTTTGTCTTCCTAATCTCTTCATTTTCTAGCTGGAAGTCTCCAACCTTCCAAATGGATTATTACATCTGCATTTCTAAAAGCTGGTTTCTGCTGAGTTGTCTGGCTGAGGTGTGGGGGAGGGAGGAGGAGAGGTTTCTGTCTTTTTAAAGATCTTTTCCATTATTCCTTTGGGGAAATATACTGCTCAAAAAAATAAAGGGAACACAAACGTATAGGATCCTATACATTTGTGTTCCCTTTATTTTTGTGAGCAGTATATATTCTGCCTTTTTAATATTCCCTAAAATATTTCTTTCTCTGGATTCTTCCCACAGCTTTCAATAGCCTGCTGTAAAAAACAGAGCTATATTTCTCTCCCCTTCTTCCATGGAGGTGGTGCTACTGGATTCTCTGTTTCTGAATCTAGACATGAAGTCTATGAGAAACTGTTAGGAGATTGAGGTATATTTATTAGTATGAAAAACAGTTCAGTAGACCTTAACCCAAGAAAGAGAGAGAGCTTTTTTATAGAAGCTGTGGGAGAAGTAAATCCAACGCTAGAAACATGCCAGGTTTATACAAACAAAACTAAAAAAAGAACCCACTTTTTAAATTCCACCTGAAAGCATGAGAGAAAGACTAAATACAAAAACAAAAACAGAGGGCCGTGTGAAACGAGCTAATCCACTTCATGCTGTTAGGATGGGAAAGCGGTTTAGGTAGGTCTGTGAAGCAAATCCAAGCAAATTCAGGCCAGAGATCAAAATCTCCTCTTGTACAGTCCTCTTGTTCCCCCAAGCTTCCAGAAAGTCCGATTAAAGGCAGTCTTGTAAAAAAAAAAAAAAACAGGGAAAATAATTCCCTAGTCATTCATGGAGTTCTACCCCCCAAAACTCTCTCTCCCTCCCTTTATCTCTCTCTCTCTGTCATACAGGGGAACGATCCCTGTACTGCAGCAGATTGCTACCCTTGCTTTTTAACATTGCATACGTATCCATCTGAGAAGGGGTTTAAACATGCGTTTGTTTCAAAAGTGTACCAGGTTTCTTAGCAGCAGAAAAGAAAATGGTTCATTATTCTTCTGGTTCAGGGGTTCTCAACCTTGGCAACTGTAAGACTTGTGGACTTCGACTCCCAGAATTCCTCAGCCAGTTGAGGAATTCTGGGAGTTGAAGTCCACAAGTCTTAAAGTTGCCAAGGTTGAGAAACCCTGTATCTGGTTGAAAAACCCCATTCAAAACAGTTGCTGCAATTGTTACATCAATAGAGCTGGTAGAGATGAACATCTCTGCCTCTCAGCTGCAAATAATTTCACCTTTCAGGACTGAAAACATTTCCTCGGCTTCATTCTTTTAGATTAGAATCACAGACAGGCCCTTTCTCTAAAAAGTGTTGATTTTTAGTCCCAGGTGTTAGGGGAAAGAAGTCACGTTCATGTCGGATTTCCCCAGAAAGAGCACTTATTAAGAGAGTTTCCCACATTGGAAACTCCCCAGATAAATAGCTGCTCAAAAATTAATACTATTTGAGGGAAGTTAGCCCAGAGAAAGAAATATTAAAAAGGGCAGAAAAAATATATTTTTCCTCAAAAGGACTTTTTAAAACCAAACCTGGCCCCAAATCTATCTCTCTGCCCCAAGCAAGACTTTAGCCCTATACAAATGCAGATGTAAAACCATCAGAGAGTTGAAGCCAGAGCAATCAAGAAGACAA